TTGTAATGACAGCTTTGATGCTGAAGAGAATCAAGTTGTTTACTCACAGAGGGAGGCATTCCTGTCTGTATGTGTAGGTCTGTTTGGTTGGTGCTGCTCAGTGTCCAAGTGTGGCAGTGCTGCGGTGGCATTTCTGTGTCAAATGGTTCTGACTGGGCTTCTTTTCAACAGTGGCATCTGGCACCTTGTCTACTGTTATGGGAATGAGATTTTACAACTCCAAAAAGGTGATGCCCGGGATAATTGCCGGTGCCAGGTAACCACCTGTCCTTTGTTCTTGTCTCTGTTATTGAATAAACATTTTATGTAGCTTATTTGTGGGTTATATTGTTTCAAAAGTGTAACATGGTAAATTCTGTGAAAAATGAAATTTTGTGGTGGTGTTCAGCTAAATGAAATTATGTCAGTGTTTTTTTCCTTCTTTATGGGATTTTTGCCTCCACCTCCCTCTTTTTATAACAACTGTTCTGTTCCACAGTTTATTGATGGTTGGCCGGCTTGGATTGCAGATGATGGAAAAACCTATTCAGCCATAACTCTGCATCAAGTGACTTGAAGACACATGACTGAGAAGCCCAAAAATGCAACTGCCTAAATGAGCTACACATAAGCGGAAAAGGCACCGCTACCTGTGCGTTGTATTTTTCATATCCTAATGCATGTGAGTTGTGTTTTTAAAGGACTGACATAGAGAGCCCTTGTCATGGTATTTGTCTTAACATTTTCTGGACTAAAAGCAAGCAAGAAAAGATGAGTGTAACATTAGTTTAGCTTCTGGTCCTGCAGCTTAGTGTCAGCAAAGACTTCCTGGCCCTTGCATTCAGACAGTTGCAGGATTGAAGCTTAAATGCACATCTGACTTGTCCTTCTAAAGTCATGTGTACCTCTAAAACCAGGGGAGAGGAGTTGCCAATTTGTTACTAGTAATTAATACAATAAACATGCTCATGATGTTCCATCTCCCTTTCCATGCCAGTTTATCTGTTCACAGTGTTTCTCAGTCAGGGAGTTTGTTCTCCCAGCATTGCATGTTAGAACCCGGTCCCACAAAACACAATCACGGAGCCAGCTGTCGAGGCTCTGCTGTAATGCAATAAATGCATACCCATGCCTTGCAATCACTTGTAAGTGCAGCTGTATGTAATTTGTTTCACTTTTACAGATTACTACTAATAAACCAAAAATATGCTTTATTAGGTAATGCCGAATTGTAGGCACAGCTTTATTAAAATGTTATTTTAAATAAACTATGAAATTATTATTGCAAACCTTTGTGTTGTACACAGCTTATTTTGTCTCTAGTTGTTCATCTGGATTGATACAGTTTGGTGCCTTTCCTGCAGGGTGTCAGGATATATTTGTGAGCATGAATTGTATAAATAATCTATCCCTGAATCTAGTAACTTGTAAATATAAAAATCTGTACTGAGAGAGAGGTGGAGAGCACAAAAGCATACAGACCACATATTGAGACAAGTATTATATTGAAGTTTTTTGGTTTGGGTTTGGGGTTTTGGTTTTTTGTTTTTTTTTCTTTTTTTTGGTTTGTTGTTGTTTTGTTTTTTGTTTGTTTTGTTGTTTTTTTCTGAGGGGATAATCTATTTTAGAAAGATTTAGATTTAGAAAGTACTGTATAAAAGTTTATTTAAAGACTGAAGGGCTTATTTGATCAGTCTTTGTCCTCAGTTGATTCTCTTAATGCCTGAAATCATTCTAAATATAAACTTTCCATAGAGAAATATCCTGGAAGATACACATGGATGGTTATGTATCCCTTTTCTGGTCACATTTAACTTATGTACCTTTTTGCACAGATCCTGAGCTTTGGTTTCTTCAACTTTTTTTCCTTGGTGCCTGGTACTGAGAGAGATGGAAGGAAGAGGGCTGGTCCATTAGATTGGTGAGACTCTGGGATTGCCCAGAATTCTCTGAGTATCAGAGTAGTACCTTGGCAGGAGGGTCACATCCTGTGGTTTTCCTTCCCTCCTCCCTTGTCGCAGCAGAACAGGTAGGGCAGTGACCTTGTGCTGTGTGAGCCGGAGGCGCAGAGCTGGGCCAGTGGCCACAGCCAGGCTCTGCCAGCAGGGAGGTGGTTTGCCAGGCAAGTCACAGGGATGAGGCAGGCCTGAGGTCAAGCCAGGATGCCAGGTCAGTCAGACTGGGTTCCAGATCTGCAGGAACGTGGCCAGGAATGGGTGCAGCTCCAGCAAGAGTCTCAGCAGCCTGGTCCCAGCCAGCTTGGGTCAGAGCTGGCTTGAGCACAGACAGATCTGCATGGAGAACTGTGTTCAGAGCATCTTCTTAGAGCCCTTATTCGTCTTCCTGCAGAGTTCAGCTTCAGGCATTCACCTGTATTTACATTTCTTTCCTACCTCCATGCACAGAAATAAGGGGTGTGCAGGACAGCAGATGGTTTGTTAACATGTCATCCTTTTAAGTGCCTAATTCCAGCCCAGGACCCAGCACTGGTAGGCAGGTGTCCCCATATCTTTGATCTTATCTGAAAAAGTTACTGAGCCAGACATTAGTATTTAAGACACTTCTCCCTAAACTGCTTTATGGGTGGGCTTTTTGCCTCTTCATATTATTGCTGAAGCAGTTTTCTTCCGTAGGAGTAGGATGCAAACATAAATGCATCTCCTGCAATAAACTGACAACAGCCATGACCCAGCAGTTTTGTAATTGTATAATCTGGTCTCAAGGTAACTTGTGAATTTGAATTGCAGTTGTCTTTAGCAGAATAAAGACAATAGAAACCAAAAACCTGGACTGGCAAGCTTTTATACTTTTAGATCGAAGTGTGAACCCCTGCTGCTGTTTCCTGAGCTTTGGAAAGCAATAGGTGGAATTGAGAACTGCTGGTAGAAGTCATTTAGGACTTGTGGTAGAATTCTCATGTCAGGATAAACAGCAGTAACACAGGCAAAGGGACAAGAGAAAAGTTTTAGCCTTACATACTTTTTATCCCTTTGAAATTTTATTAGCATATAATTATTTTTTTAAGCATTTCTGCACTAGCAGTCCAATGTGAACCAATGAATCAGAGTTAAATGACTGTACAAAGCCTGTTAGCCTTTGTTTGCTTCTTGCAAAAAGAATTCTTCAACACTTGTCATACTTTGCTTGTGGACAAGTAAAGACTGATCTGGTTATGTCAAAGCCCTTTCAAGGTTCAGTAGCATGTGACAAGGACAGCATGTTTCTTCTAACCATATTTAGTGCCATAAACAGTAGCTGTTTATTTTTCTGCTCTAAGGTGACTGACTCACTGACACGTGAGCTATTGGCACATTATTAGTTAATTCCTTGACTAGGCTGTGATTTTAACTGTCATTGGCATTTGCATGAGAGAAGAGTAATTAATTTTGTTTTTTAATTATAAAAAAATAGCCTTTATGGCTGTTACAAACTGTCTGAGGGTGTCCTTCATTGCCATAACAAGTTGCAGGTATGTTCTACAGTTAAATTAAGATGCATTTAAGTAGCACAGGGACATCTCTTAGTACTAAGGGAATGGCAAATACTTAATCCTAGGCCAGTGGCAATTGAATTAAACTTGCTAATGAATTACTAACCAGCCAGCCCTATCCTTGCATAGCTCTGACAGTATTAAAAAAAAGCAGCATCTTCTGTAGGTGCAATTTTCCTAACAAAATATTTGACTTTTTGGTACAACCATTTTAGATTAAATTGCTTTCCAGGAAGTTAACGTAACCCATATGACACATTGGGTCAACAAAAGGAGTTTAAATTTTAATATCCATTTATAAAAGCCATACGAATAAATTTATTTTTAAAAAATGCTTGAAGTCATCATTAACAACTTTAATCTTTAAAGAGCATACTCAGTTTTTACTTTGAAAGGGCAAGTTTAATGTTACTATAAAGTCTAAAGCATTTATTCTAAATGTAGTTATTAATAGAAGTAGCCCAGCTCAAGATCCTAATACAAATTGACTCTATATTGCAAAGTCCTTTGGGCAATATTATTATAAAAGTTAGCATAAAAGCTGGGGAAAGTACTGAATGAACACATAAACACTGACATACTGAATTATTAAAGTTTTGTCTGTGTTGTCAGGTACCTAAGTTGGCCTTTAAGATCTAAAACAGAAAGCAACGTCTTTGAAGTTCAGACCAATAGTCTTCCTCATGCAGCCTATTCAAACTCTGTAGTTTAGTCTGATCACCCAATAAAGACATGTAGGAACATGAGTTTAGTGATAATTTAGGAATTTTTGGCTAATTCACCCTTAAAATGACTGACAGACTGCAGTGATTTAGGCTCTTTAAAAGATCACTGTGACACTTCCTTGACAGGACAGAGATAAATCTCTGCAGATCTTTGACCAAAAATGGCAATAAGTTAATTAAAACAGCAGAATCTGATTGTTAGGCTTCACTTGGTGAGTAGTATTGGTAAGCTTGGTAAGTAGTATTCAGTACTTGTTTAGCTATTTTCCAATATTGCTGTATCATTCAATAGCCCTCTGTCAGCTAGATTTCTAGACCTTCCTTGTGTATCTATGAGTGGATTGCCTATGTCCTACTACAAGGGTTTCAGTTCTCATTGCTACATGAATATTTGTACCTTACAGACCCTGAGTAACTCCTAGTTATAAGTGAGTTCTGAAATCCTTGAAATCCTGAAGCAGGAGACTGATGCTCTTCACAAAGCCAGATCTGTGTTTTCACTCTTGCCTTCCTGCTAAGGAACCAGCCTAACACCTGGAAGCCTGATGCTGCTCTGCTTCAGCCCTTCTTTGTGCTGCCTGCGTGCTTCAAGCACACCCCAGCAGCAGATGTTGCACTGGATGAACAATCCTAACCTTAGTTGTTCCAAAAAGTATGAGAAGAGGAGATCTTTCTATAGAAAACATCAGGTGAAATCTACATCTCAGTTTTGGCAATATGTGTGGTACAATACTTCATTACACCCTACTTTACGGCCAGTATTTTACATGGTGTTATATGTACTATACAAATAATAGAACACAAAGTCTTTTTTCCTTCTTTACTGTTGCATAGTCTTAGGAGAAGCTGGAGCAAATAGGCTTTTCACGTTCTCAAGAGCAGGAGAACTGAACACAGAGCATGTAATATCCACACAGGATGGTATTTTCTATCTGTTTCCTCCATATTTGGCCACCCAGTCTGTTCTCCCATGTACTCGCTGAATTGTTGCAGGGTGAGTAAAGATACTCATGTTTTTTGCATTGAAAGTAGGACCTGGTAATGGAGGACGAGCAGCTTTGTTTTTCCAGGAATAATCTGAAAGGAATTAGAACTCAGAATTAATTATGACTAAAAAGGTATTTTACTCCTCTACAGAGAAGAGAATGAGAGCTTACAGAGAATTTATGGTCCTCAAGGATGCTAATGTAGCAGGATGCTTTGGTCTCCTCTATGACATAAAACATCCTGAGTTGGAAGGGAACCACTAGGATTATAGAGTCCAGCTCCTGGCCCCACACAGGACAACCCCAAGAATCACACCATGTGCCTAAGACCATGCTGTCTATGCTTGTTTTCAGATAAGATTATTTTTTCCAAGAGTTTGTGTGTATTATTCTCACCTACTAAATAGTTGTTTTGCAGCAATCCCCCAAGAAAACGCTGGGAATTCAGCGGGAAAAACTGATGCAAATACCTTCAACTCTGTATCTCCTATTACAAAACTATCTGCTATTACAAAACAGTATGACAGTGTTCTCTCTTCTATCTCAAATATTTTAAAAAGCCTGTCATTATAATATTGATAAACTGATTAAGATTGAAATAGCTTAGCCTGAAGAACAGCTCCTGGAGGCCCCCTTGTTCCTTTTGAGATTTTATGTCTTTTACTCCTCTCTGGCTTAGCTCAGAACTCCTGGTGTACTTGGTGGCAAGTCTTCTTTGTTCCATTTCCCATTTCTCTATTGATTTCATAGGATTTATTCCAAGTTTGAAGGCTTTCTTTCTCTCTTAATATTGGCACCCACCTGATCTCAGGCACTAGCAGTAGCACACTGCTGTATTCCTGGCCTTCCTATTCAGATTTCCCCTTTTGACATTTCAGGTAGTGGCTACTTCCTCGAGTTTTATGTGATTAAAGCAATTGCCCTGCTGCAGGGGCTGACATTTCTTCATGTTCTTGACCAATTCAACCATTTTCCCAAGTCTTTAAAATCAGCCAGCCAGGACTCTTTTATCCAGACTCCTGCTATACCTTATCCTTGTTTTCTTAGCATTACTAAAGTAGTTCCTGCCCCTTCCATTCCTACTTCTGTATTTTAGTCTTATTATGTACTGATACTCTTTAAAACAAAACTTAACATTTAACTTGAATGGGGGTTTTGGTGCCTAGGTATCATTCTGCTTCTTAGAGAAAACCACCTAGTTTTGGTAGCATTTTCCAGCATTTCATTCTGCTTCTTAGAGAAAACCACCTAGTTTTGGTAGCATTTTCCAGCAGTGGATTGAACCTGTTAAGAAACAGGTGAGGATCAAGACATTTAAAAAAGAGGAACATCAAGGAGCTGAAATTTGGAGTCAGGTCTCCACCTCTTTGAAAACAGTTTCTTACTGTAGGCTGCCATTCCCTATCTTTCATCAGCAGAATGATTCCAGTCTATACTATCTTGGCAATAAAGGCCACTTTTGCTGGTATTTTCCTCAGAAAAATGGATCTTGTATACTATATTATTTAAATTATGGCATAAAAAAAATTTAACCGAAAAATTAAAAGAGCAAAAAACAATTGAGAGCATAACTTACTACATTTTGGATAATATAAAGCAAAGGGTCACCAAAAAATGTTAATGTTCAAATACTGACATCTAGGAGATAAAACCTGCCATTTGCTTTGTCCTTATCTCTCTCTTCCTTTACAACTCTGAAGACTTTAAGCTACATATGAGTGGTTTAAGTGATAGGATTCTTGTTCTTCTCCAGGACATGCAAGAATATCTTAACTGACCTCCATCTGCCAGCCATTCTGACGTCTACTACTCATATTCCAACTACAGATAACAGTAAATTTTATTTTCTTTGGGACACCACATGTGATTTTTTTTCACTATTTACAGCAATCTAGAGAGAATTGCAGACTTTGTCCTCCTGTGAACCTCCTGATCCGTGCATTGTGACAAATCAACTCTTGCAGTTTTGTTTCAGCAGTGGATCAATAAGATAATGAAGTCAAGCTCCAGCCTTTCTTGATGGGTTCTGATCAAATCAGATACATTATATGCATACATCCAAGCATATTTTATATAAATATATGCGTGTGTGTGTGTGTGTGTGTGCACCATCTCTTTCCTTCCATCCTCCTCCAGTTCTCTGAAGCCAGCTGCAAGTTCTTAAGGAGAAGAGGTAACTCAAAGGAGCATGCCAGCAAAAAGACAACATTATTAAGCAGAACTGTATGAGATTGGTCTGCCATGGACCCTTTGGTTAAAGAATTCACCATTGGTTTAAGGCCTTGCTATTTCCTCTGAAGTAACCAGAGAAGTGGGCTGCTGGGTGTGGACAACAGCTCTAAATCTTCACTCGCAAACCAGTTTCTCCTGCATCCTGAGCACTGTTGTTCATCTTCTCTGCATCAGAAACATGACAATGAAGAATGTGCTCAGAATGTCACCAACACTGCAGAGGATCCAAGGTAACAGTTACATTCAGAAGAGATTTCACATTGTTTTTAACAAATTAATGTTAAAAACATGACCCTTTACTATAGAGTTGTGGAGTTACATGTTTTTACAATTCTGCTTAGCCCATCAACACTAATGAACAGTAGTTTAACAAATGGTCCAAATCTTTTTTGCACCTTTTGTAATTATTTTCTCTTTTATGTAACAAATTCTAGTAGCAGTAGTTTAACTATCAGGACAGTCTCTAGGCACCTACATGCAGTTCATGTGTATAAAGAATTCATGTCCTACAATTTTATTTACAAAACTTGAGGAAAACCACAGGCTAACACATTCCTTAGGAAGCATGGAAAATGAACATTTCTCTTTGTCTTGGATATGAGTAGTAAAAGAATATTTCTTACCCGATACAGGTGCACCAAGAGGTGCTAGCTGTATCCGTTGTCCAGCTGATCCAACTTCTTTTTTATGGAAGGAAGAGGTGTATAGTCCCAATGGGTTGTAAGCACCACTACTTACAAAGCCAGGATTTCCTGTTAACATTACAAAATTTTAGAATTTTCATTCAGAAAACTCTGCCTACTTTTTATACTTGCTTCAAATTATATTTGCAGTACTACAAGAGTACAAAGTATGAGTGTTGTTTAAAAACACCCTAGTGCTCATCTCTTGAAAAACAAACATTCTTTCATTGAATTCATTCTTTGCTTTGTATATTAGCACTTTTCAGCATTAGCAGACAGAAATTCAGCAGGAATAAAGACAAAGAGCAGGATGAATACTTCATTAGTACTTCCACTAAACTTGAGACCATATAGAAGGGTTTGCACTGCGTTCCAGAGAAATGTAGGACCTTACCTTTTGTTTACATCTACTTGCTTTACTGGAAGCTGATTTAACTAGTGCTCAGTATTATTCTTGTACTCAACGTGTTTGGCCTAAATCTATTGAAAATAATGGAATCCAAGGTCTCTTGTGCAAAGTGGTACACCAAAGTTGACTTTGACAGTTCCCACAGTTAAAGGCCTGCTAAAAAAGTCAGACCCAATTATCCTCTCTCTTTAACCCTGGTTATAATTCTGTTTTTCTTTAACCAGCACTACCCTGGGAAGGCTGACATAACCATCCTCATTTGGAAGCTAGGAAGCATTGTGCATGTACACACAAAATTAGTACTGGAATTAGTGACCAGTGGAAGAGTGATCTGTTAAAATACTTACTCCCTGATCCAAGAAAAACCCTGACCATCTTCATGTCTGTCATCACTTGGGACAATGTTAAGACTGTGCTGGCACAATGTCCAGAGTGAAATGCTTTTCTCTAGTGGTAAGGCTCTGTGTTCAGTAGTATTAAGTTTATTTTGACCTTTATCATGTGTGAGCATATTCATCACGGCTTCAGTGGTAGTTACAGTAAAACACAGTATCTGCATTGCCAGTTTTTCTGTCTCCTAAATCTTTGGCCTTGGGCAATCCCATAATGTTCCTATTCACACAAATACTCCCAGACCTCTGTGATAATTTCAGAGCAGTGGAACTATAAAGCAGAAACTAGGCAGCCTGGAATCCTGAGTTTCCTCCCTTTTAGTCTAAGGTAACTCCACTAAAACCTGTGCAAGCACAGCATGGTAAGATCAGTGTAATGAGCAGAGAACCCAAATGCACAAAAAGGTGCGAGTCCTGAGTGCTGTCAGGAACAAGCCATCCCTGAGGGGACATACATGTGCTACATTAGGATCACTTCCTCACCGTTACCCAGTGACCTGCTGTGGGTTATGATTAGGGTAATAAAATATTCACTGCCTTTTAAAGCACAGTAAGAAGAAGAAGATTCCAGAAGAAGCCTTTACATCACTTTTATAAAAGCCTCACATGCAAAACCACCACATTGACATAATGATGTTTGACAAAACAGATTGCAACTGAAAATGAGAATATACAATCATCAGGAACCTGCATTATCAGTGTTTTTTTTTTTTTTTTTACAAGAAACTGTAAAACATAAATAGGAAATGTACAAAGAACCAGGCTATAATTGCTATAAATTACCTTTTGGATCTTCTAATTTTTCATTCAACCTTTCTTTGCACGATAGTTTTTCAATAGGTGTAATTAAGTTCTCATCTGTAGACAAGGAAAATTAAAGGAAGAAAAAGATAGAACAGAACTTCAGAAGAAGGGTATGAAGAACCAATTTAGGTGATGTACAAGAAACGAGGAAGGAAAAAAGCAAGCGAGAATGAGGATCTGACACATTAGTAACTATGATGTCTTATCCTTGTTTTCTTAAGCAGAAAATGTTACTCCAAAAGGTTACTTTACAAGGTCCATTCTAATTATGTACTAACAATAAGATTTACCAACAATGCAATTACATTCCATTTACAATTTTAAAGACTTGGTCATATCTTCAGAGTTGATTGATCATAAACTTACAATCCTTCATAAATAAAGCATTTGGAACTATTTGCTCTTATCTTATTTTGCCTTAGAGCAATGTTGTGGCTGATTAAAAAAAAAAAAAGCCCACATAAATAAACTGTACATAGTTATTTAAACACAGCAGTGTTGACTTTCAGACGGTCAACATGAAAAGAGAAGAGATATAGTTTACATGTATTTCTGTGATCCATCTATCCTGATTCCATGTGTGTCTTAAATGTTGCCCTCTTCCCAGTATATCCAACATCACATGCAATTTAAGATACTGATGGAAATAATACCAAGCATTTTCAAACAAAAAATAATCAGTTTTAGTGTTTATTTTCTTTAAATTCTTGGTAGTAAGACAAATGCAGGATTTCTACCATTAGCATTCATCCAAATTTTATCTTCACTCCAATTCAGTAGGTAGACGTCTAGCCGATTGATGAAAACTTTTGGAAGCAGGTATTTGCTTTTCTGTGCCTGATTCCCCTGCAAGATTATTTATAAATAATTTATTTCTGAGGAACATAGATACTCTATTTCAGAAAACAAAAAGGATATATAAGATGATACAAAAAACCTCTTCTATTCAAAAAAAAAACCAAAAAACTCTGATAGGTGCTTTGTTTTTCCACTTTCTAAAATCTTGCACCTTAATTCAAATGAAAAACTTCAGCTTGCCTGACTTTCAGAGGGGGAAATGAGGTTTGTTGACACTGCAGAATGGCTATCAAAGTTCTATTAAAAAGGGATGCAGCATCTGCATGTAAACAAACCTTCTGAAGTTCTTGCTGTACAAACATGTAAAGCTGGGTGGTTTACTGGCACTAAAGTATTTGGAGAGTGACTCTTGCCAGCTGGACAATGGCTGCAGAGTTGTTAACCAGGTAACCTCCCATAACAGGGACAGTGTACCTGAGGTATAGGGCTTGGGGGTGAGAAGACAGATTTCAGTCCAGATTCTGATGCTTTCCTCAGTGAAATCTTAGATATAAGTGTTTACTAGTGTTGGACTTCACTCTAGAGAATGCTGATAATAGTGTTCTTCACGAAACATAGTCTCACTGGAAGTTCCTTCCTGAAAATAAGGGGACTTTTCTTGCAGCAAAGGATTTAGGACAAGTAAATTGATAAAAGACATGTCTAAAATATTAGGCAGCCCTTTTATCACATGAGCACAGCACCCACCCTTTTGTTTTCATGGGTGAGATTGCTGTTTGATAGTGTTCTATAGCATAGGGAGCAGGCAGTAATGAGGCCAAACTACTTGCTAAAACACAGTAAAATAATGGTCTCCGTGGATTATATAAAAAATTGATCTTGACAGAACTTTATAAATAGGGGCTGCTCTATATCTTCTTAATGTTCTGAAAGCAAAATACATCATACCACATATGAAAAAGTTGGTTTTTTAAGAGTCTTTCACTAAAACAAGAGAAAAAAAAAGAGTCTAGAACCTAATTGCAGAAGTTAAACTAAATGCAGAAGTTAAACCAGATGGTCTTAACTAAATTAACTAAAGTATGAGGAGGTATAATGTGACCATTTTCAATTACACTTTTACCTGTAGTATTTCTGCTGTAAGTCAATCCTCCCCCAGCATTTGCCAGTGATTTAGCAAACAATTGGTTGTTCCAGGTTCCATGTGATCCTTTATTAACTGCTGCTAATGAGACGTTCTTTGGATTTACACCTTAGAAAACAAATGACAGAAAATGTTATAAATACTAAATTTCAAACTTAATTCAGCCAATAAATGACATTTCTAGAACAGAAAATCAACACTGAATCATTTGTCTTATAATGCAAAACAGCACTAATGTAAATTAATGATGTCTATTGATTAGATTTTTAAGCCAAACCATGAAAACCAGTGACACTAATATAAGAACAATTCTCTTCATGCTTTCAAGAGAACTTTTAAAAGACTTTTCAGCATAGGTACTTGGTTTCTATAAGACCATAAACTCATAATTGATATTTTTGTCTGTCAAAAAAGGAACACACAAATTAAAAATACCTATCAAAAACTGGAGTTCCCAAGGCTGAAAATAAACTATTTATTAGAGGGTTAACTTAAAAAGTAGGACAAAGAGTCTTGTGACTTCAGCATGTTAGAAGCATTACAAGAGTTAATGGGATTACAACACATGAAAGCAGCTCCCAGATTTAGTGGTTGTAGAACTAAAGCAATATGGATAAATAACAACTATGTTCCTTGGACCTATTATTCCCGTAAATGTTGAAATTAATTATTTTTTACATCTATGCCTTTCTCATTGGAAACCATGAATACATTAGAACTGTGCTTAATAAAATATAAGAAATACAGATGACTCTTCCATTTGCGTTACCTTTAGATAGGGAAGTTCCTTGCTCTTTATTTTTCTTTTTTTTTTTTTGGACTGAAACTGTTGATTCTCTGAGCATCCTATTTAAAATTCTAGAATTGATTTCATATTCAGAAGTCATCACTGCCCTAATGAGTTCCTGACAAATTAATCATATGTTGTATCAAAACAACTTGCCCGACAATGGGGAATTCCTCTGTGAGCCACCTAAATTCTCAAACCTGGATTACAGAAGTCATGGCATGATGACTGTAATTGTACAAACCACCATAGTAACAAAAGATACTGAGGCACCAAGAAAATAATTTGATTGTAGAATATACTCAGAATACTAACTAAAGGAAACATTCTCTTTGCTTTCTCCTTTCCATTCTCATTCCCAGTAATTAAATAATATCATAGTGTTTTCCTGACAAAATCACCCAGATTTAGACTAAAATATCTATTTCTAAAGAAAGATGACTGCCTTGAGAAAGGAAGTGAGTGTGTGAATTCCTATCAATGCCAGTAGATGGATATTTCTAAACTCTTTGTACAAGGAAGGGGATTATGTTTATCAGAACTTGTATGTTCAGAAAACCCCAAACATCCTGACAATGTGCGTATTGGTAAATACGCACTATATAAACTCATAGAATGGTTTGGGTTGGAAGAGACCTTAAAGATCATCTGGTTCCAATTGCCCTGCCACGGGCAGGGACACCATCCACTAGACCAGGCTGCTCAATGTTCCATCAAACCTGGCCTTGAACACTGCCAGGGATGGAGCACCCACAGGTCCTCTGGACAATCTGTCCAGTGCCTCACAACTCTCATAGTAAAAAATTTCTTCTATATATCTTTTCTAAATTTCCCTTCTTTCCATTTGAATCCATTACTCCTAGTCCTATCACTACAGTCCTGATGAAAAACATGTACATGTTTTTACATGTAGTTCTTTAGTCCTCACATACACCTGCTTATAGATTAATCGAGATATATTCCAAGTAATTCAAGAGACGTTGGATTTATATTACTGAGGATTTTTTATATTACAGGTCATAAGAGGGCCCATGAACTTTTATAGTGTACAAGCAGTATTGAGATCCTGCCATGTTTATATAGCCAGGAATTGCTGCATCAATTGTGCTATCTTCTGGAAAAGGCATTTAGTCCAAAACATGAAAATTTAGTTTGGTTAAGAAAAATAAAATTATCCCGTAAGAAATCTGAAGCTTAAATGCATTGTATGTAGATTGTGCACAGCTTGTATTTTCCATATGTATTGACTTTTAACCTTACCAGGCAGATATCTTGATTGGTTTATATAGTAATCTTTTGCTGATGTATTTGATCTTTCAGAATCATTTCTCACCAGACTCTTGTTTTCCCCTCCTGGCTGGATACAGCATGAAGCTTTTGATTCTGGCACACTGAAAAATCAAAATTTTCAAACCATGTGACCAACAACTCCAGCTCAGAATACCACAAGCTGACCTTAGCCTGAAGAATACAGTGCTCTTTGCTTATCCTACTTTTCTCAGTAGAGCCTGTTTCCACAAAGTAACAGTCAAACCTAACACCTCATCAGAGCCTGACCTGGGATTTGAAGAAATGTATCCAACACTATAGAATAAAAGCAAATGTGGCCAAATGGCAGAACATAGTACCATTTAACTGACAAATGAAGTAATGCTAGTATGCCAATTTTTAGTAAAACAGTTTCTTAAATACACAACAAACACCTGAACCATATAGTGCCTGAAAACAAATTTCATTCTGTTTGGATATTACTGGCACTATAACATAACACACACCAAAGCTGATCTCATGAGCTCATGCAATTCTTGGCATTCTTGCAGAATTTTGATGACTTGAATTTTAATAGACTTGTCTTAATCACTCTATAAATCTACTTCTGGATACTGTTTACTAAAAGAAATTGTGAATTTATAATCGCAGGACCTACCTAAAAAGAAATTCCTTGTTTTTCTTTTCTTTTAACAGTGCAATGCTAGGCTTCTTTGAAGATGACATTCCAAATTCAGGGTCATCCAAGTCATCCCAGCTATCCACAGCCTTTACCAAAGTCTGACCCCACCGTCTTCTGCAGTTTTTAGGACCTAGTACACCATTCAGAGGGCCACTAGCTGCTTTCTATTTTAAATTAAAAAAATATTAAAATAATAAAAATTTAAAATAATAACAAAAAAGCACTTCAATTGTAAAATTTTGTATTTTGTATCAAGTATAACTCCTGACTACTGCTCACAGACTTTGAGGGAATTTTTCCCAGTGTGTTGTACCTGTTTTGGCCACAGTCTCATTATGATTTTAAGTACAAAACATAATGATGCCAGCATGTATTTGAAGTGTAGCTCTTTTGGATTGCCATCCTTGAATTGCTCAAGTCTACCTGAACTAGTGAGGGTAACATTCTGTTTGCAAATCCAGTTCAGTGCTCAACCATTATTTCTGGCATCTTGCTGAACTCGTGCTCTAAACAGTGCTAGGTGAGCTGTCAAGAAATAGAGCACAGGGGTGCAGAACACTGCTGTGCCCCCAAAGTAAATACAGCAAATAAAAGAAACTATTGTTTAACATTCTGTTCCAATGAAATGACTAAGTTTTAAAACTGTCCTTCTATCTGACTATCATTTGCTTTCCAGTATTCTCTGAATACCTGTTATTTTTAACATATTTTGTATTGCAGTTCAGTGAGTCCAAGCAGAAAGCAAAATGGAAGTTACAAACCAAAGTTTACTATTAATCTTCCTAAAAATCACAATTGCTAAATTCTTACAAGGTTAGGAGGTGGATAAACCTTTTTTTGGATATTTTCCTGCATGAGGCAAGTGAAGTTCTCCCTTTTCACTTCTCTGTTGTGTACTGACAGTATTGTTTCTCAAAGGTCAATAAGTAACAGCTGTTTCAACTCCATTACTGCATAAGCACATCACTGAGGGCTATTATAATGAACACTGTTGTTACAAGCAATCTATTTTTCTGACTTGCTAGAAAATTTTAATAAGTAGACAGTTATAGCCTCACTTATTCCCTAGTTATCTATCTGTATCTCCTCTAATAAAACATGACAATTTACAAGGGATCACCTGGCTGAACATACTAGGAACTTTTAATAAAACCATCTATGTAGTTATTGAAGACAACTTACAGGCGATGAGTTTTTATTGATAACTGGAAAAAGTGGTTGTGCCTGTGGCTGCTGCTGCTTTGGTACTTGCTGGTTAGCTGTATTCTGAGGCAACTGAATTTGCTGGAGAGGCTGGTGGTTAATCTTTGGCAAGGACTGTGGCTGCGTTTTGTCAGGTAAATCAGGTGAAGACAGAGGTTCTGGCTTAGCTTCCAATTTAGGTAAAGATGGCTTTGGCTCTGTTGGCTGAACTGGTTTAATAGGAGTCTGCTTCTCCAAATGCTGTGGAGGAGGTCCTAAAATTTGGCCAACTTGAAAGTAAGGGTACTTCAAAGCCTGCAGAAGAAGATATAACACAATAATTTTAATTTCAAAACATTGACTTTGGTAACCTCACCAAAGATCTAAGCAGGTTTCTGAAGCATTTGAGCAAGCTTTACAGAACAGATGGACGATGGATGCGTAATGAGATAATATGTAAAGTGTATATTAAGAACTGGCAGTTCTGTATTTCAAACTCTTACAAAACTTAGTAAGACTGATTCACTTGTACATATAACAGCAGTCATATCCTTTTGTTCCCTTCTTTATTGCTAGGTGGAGTCTGTATTTTGAGGTGCATTATACATTTAACACCATTCTATATTTATGCAGTAACAAATTTCTCTTTTAAAGGAGGTAGTTCCCACTACCTTTACCACATGCTTTATTTACATGTCTTCACTGCTGACTGTGTTTTGGCAACTCAGTGAATAGCCTGAGGTTTTTTAATTAAAAACAAAACAAAACCAACAAAAACCCCAGAAGTGAGATGGTTGCCATGTATGGCTTCTACAATTAGAGGATGTTAATGAGCAAGATTACTCCCCCATTTGTCTTATCACCTGCTTTTGCCTTTCTTTGAAATACATTCACTGGGCCTGCTGTGCCTTCATGGTGTTTATTAAGAAAATACAGCATCTGTCTTCAGGCAGATGTTCATTTGATCCTTTCCCAGTCCTCTGCTAGAAGCAGAGCATGGACACACCTTAGTAACGCACCTCCTCCTGTATCAAAACAACCCACTCTGTTAATCCTTCTGGGCAGGATCCTACTCTTTGTTAGTTCTCAAATGCATATTTTGCCCCAGCTGCACTCAAGAGCAGCTGTCTTTGAACACACTGCCATGTACATGCATTAAACTCTTCTTTTTGACTGTGGATTACACAACTGCTGCAGCTGTTTCCTCGATAACTCACCTGGGTAAAAGCTGGTTATTTGCTTTTATAAAGCACCATAGAGTATTTTGTGTAGCGGTACATAGTACTGGACTACAGATAGATCTCCATCACTGTACAATAGACATGCTTCATAAAGTGGAGAGGAATGATTGCTTTATTTGGTACCATCTGCTTAACTGCTTCTGAATCACTTACACTACATCCACCTAGGGTAACTTGCAATATGTCCTTTCTTTTCCAATTGTAGTCCTCTTTTATACATTCTCAATAGGATTACATTAGGTATGAATAATATAAAAAAATTCCACAGAATGTAACCATCTTTGGTCCTTGAAATACGTTTTATGAAAATTAACTTGGAGAAAAATTGTGACCTTTGTGAGCTATGGTCATGTTCTTCACAAGGTTCTTTCTTTATCACTTTGTACAATTTACATTCCAAGTAAAAATAAGCCTTAGCTCTTCCATACTGCATTCCATCTGTGGCTTCACAAAAACCAAAGTTTTCAGACTTTTTGGTACCTCCCTTTGTACAGATGGAAAGGAAAACCAAAGTGGCGAAGTGATGACAGACACAATTGAAACATTTGCAAATCACCTATTTCTCTGTTCTGTACAGAGAGAATTTTAAGATACACAGTACAGAAGACAACATTGCAGAAATAACTAAAGAGTTTCTGATGTCTGCTAAGCCAGGTTTAGAACTACCATTTAGTCTCATTCCCACCAAAGTGTTCAAAATGAGGAGACATTTGTGGCCATCACTATTATGACAATCAATTGGTCTCTGTATCTACAATTTTTTAACAATGCAAGAAAATTCAGTCTTATACTTAATCATTCATGTGCTCTGACCTGACTTGCTGTAGGTCTCTTCTTTGGATTCCAGTTCAGCATATCACTCATAAGCTGTATTGCTTCATTGCTTGCATTTGGGATGAGAGTTTTTAGGCTTATAGGGACACATTGTGGGAAACGGAAATTCATGGCAGAAGCAAGGTGGTATCCTTCTGTCCAGTCACTCTGTTTCAAAGGAAATAAAAATGAGCACCAGAAAAGAACAAAGATGTATTCAAGGCAGCTTGAGTCATGCTTGGTCTGCATGGCTCCTTCCTATATAGGAGAAAACAAGCATGCCTGTTTTCCGTGACAATTATTATAACACTAGTGAACACAGCATCAGTCTCCAATGGCAGTCCTCCCGAGGTCTCCTGTAGCTACAGGTGGAACCATCACCATGAATAACACACTTGGACACATTCTATCTGAAGGAGACCTGAGTGCAGCCGTACCAGGAATGGTACTGAACATCCCATCTGCCACAGAAATGAGCCCAGCAGCTGACTTCAACATGCCCTCTTTATGGAAATAGCAGAAGCAAGGCCCCTCCATTCACCAAGACACACTTGTATAACCATGATGCAGCCTATACAATATAGCACTGATCCCACCATTATGACAGTCAATGATTAAGTTACAACAAGACAGTATTGCAACAATAAAAAACCACGACCACCAGATAAGAACTTTTAAAAAAAGTGTTTAACTTTCTAAAAGTAAACCGTGAAGTCCTTCATTGCTTGATAACTGCATTCTTGGAATACAGAACTATAGGATTATCAAAGACCTCAAGAGACCATTTACTCCATACACTTGTCCCTTCCTGACAGGTGTTAAGTCTCAAAAAGCTTCCAATTTCTGGCAACCCACAGCCAGACTATATCAATTACTCCAGACAGTAATCTCCTCAAGATTAGAAAAATGGAGGTTTCTCGTACAAAAATAAATCACCGTTGTTGAGTGTTCTGTCATCCGTAGATACCAAAAAGAACTATCTAATTCTTCCCTCTAGAGTGGCCTTTTTATACATTGGAAGGTGTATTTCTTTTCCTTTCTTCCAGTCTTTGTACAGGCTAAAGAAACTCAAACAATTCCTAAGGTGCAGGCTTTTAAAGTTTTATTTCCTCTCTAGACTCTTGATTTTTTTTCTCTTGAAAACACTAAACTGGATATAATATAGCAAGCGAAACAGAAAGATTAGTTCACATGTTAATAGGCAATAATCCTTTTTCCACAAACTGGTATGGTATTTGTCTTTAGACATACAATACACTACATAGCACCTACGGCCTCTCCTACAGATGTTTTAGCTGGATGGTTATCCACAGCTATTGGTGCAGCTGATTATCCCTGCCTAGGTACAGCATTCTGTGCACTACTGGAAAAGTTTCTTTAAAGCTACATCTCTAATTCTATACATAAAAAAAACCCCTTCTAAATTCTAATCTTTTCTAACATAATTCTTCTCTGCCTGCCATCTACTAGCTTAAGTAGCAAAAGCTACTCCACCAGACAGCCTTCAATACAATTAAAAAAATTTGATCAGAGGCAGAACCACTTGAGTTCTATTCAAATCATCTTTTGAATAAGAGCCAGTGAAGCTTGTTACTCTCTGGGTAACTCCTTCCAAACAGGTATGCTCTTATCATGCAATTTGTATAGAAACACACTGCTGAGAATGTTATCAGGGACAGCATTAGAAACCCTGCTGAAGACAAGGTATGAGACTTGCGCTCTTCCTCTATCCACCAAGCTTGCTGCACTGCTACAGGACAAACTGGACTGATTTCATACAATTTGGTCTTAAGGCACCCTGATAGGCATTACTCATCTTTTTATGTAGAACAGTTTTAGCTCTGTTAGCACAGTCCATAGTAACAAAAAAACTCAAACATAATTATAAACCACATCTGCTTAAAATAAGTCTCAAGATTTCAAGTGACTTCCTCTTTCACCTTAGAGAACAGTTTGTTCCTTTAAATCAGTGGAGAAAAACTTCCCTCCTTCACTGCATTGCCCTTCTTTATTGAGTTTGGTGGCATTCTGTCTGCTAGAAATAAAGGAACAGTTTACAACAAAAACTGCATGTTGAACTGATGAAGCATAGGGATAAGGTGAAAACAATACAAGAGAAAAAATGAAAAATACATTTATATTTATTAAAAGAAATTAATTTGCACTAATTTAAAGTGCCATTGCCAACCTTCAGCTAATGAAAATGCATTTCATTAATCTCTGCTACTGAGGTTGTAATCAATTTTTGCATTCAATTCACATAGTACAAGTGCACCACCACTGCCAATACCTGAATGGTAAATTTAATTTATTCATAAAATAAATATGACAACTTACTTTATAAAATAAAATAAAATAGTTGCCTGCCACTATTTAAAACCCAGATTCACAGAAGTCATTGGTATGTTGTTATGGACTTAAGCACAGGAAGGTAAACTGGAATGAAGATAGCTTCTGAGCATAATTCCTGTAATTCATTATTGCAGGGTAATAGAATAAATGAAAATGCATGTCTGAAAAAAATAATATTTGTAAAACTATCCACAAAATCAGACTATTAAAATAACTACTTATATTTTTCAAAATGTAACAAGTACTTGTAACAAGTGCATTATTTGTTGTGCTAATTCCTATCATACTATTTAAGTACTCCTTTTACACAGCAATCTCCCTGAAGAATGCCTTAGCATTGTCGTAAGGAGAGAAAATTCCCAAGTCTGCCCAGCAGATGACAGGGGCACAAAGTAATTAATTATAGTTTCCTGATTCTAGAGGGCTGACTTACAATGTCCTTTACTCTTAGGGCCTTTAAGGGATGCTACAATTTTTTCTGGATTATTCAGCTGGTAATGCTCCCTGCTTTCCCAAGAAATAAGCTTTCCAGTCAGGGAATGACAGACACTAAACAGTCAGAATTTACTTCTGTTAGCTCCTTGTAAGGTTAGAGAAAAAATACAGCAATCAGCTCAGTGCTGCTCTGCAACTGCACACAGTGAAAACCTCTCTCTGATCTCCCTGCACTTCAGAGCTTGCTTATGCTGTACATTGAAAATGTTCCAGAAGCCAGCATGGTGCTGTCTTTCAGTCTTCTTATACATCAAAATGTTCCTCTTACTATCCCATATTTGTGATCTGCTTAAGAAAGTTCACATCTGCATCTGAAAACTCAAGTGTTAACATACTGCTCCTATTTGCACATTATTCCTGAGGCACAACTGTGTCATGGCAAGCACTGTTTTACACATCATACCAATTTTCACTGTGTCCTCCTGACTCAATTTTCACTTCCACAACATATCATCTATAACTCTCCACCTGACCTTTTCCTCTTTGCTCTGTCATGAGTTTGCACCTGTTTCTCAGAATGTTCTCTTGGATGTTTTCCCACCACTTCAAGTTCTGCATGTTCCTAGCTAAGCTTAATCTATTTCTGCTTTAAGTTTTCTGTTCCTTACTTCTCTATTGAAAACAGCCCCTTTACAGGACAAGAATTATACTGCATTTTATACAGGTAGAACATTTATGAAACTGATGTATCTCTCTCCACCCTTAGGTTATTCAGATCTAGGTGGACTGTGTTTGATCAGTTATTCCACCAAGTTCTATTTGCACTCATAAAATACTGATATGTATCTGCCATTTCTTACTTTAGTCTACAAAAATATTTAATAGCATATGGTCTTTTCTTTCAGTTAATTCAAAATTTTGAAGGTAACCTTATTCTTTTCTTGCATATTCTTCCAGCCATTTAGTAAAACAACTTTGAAACTGAATATAAGTGCATTTTTATATGCACTACCCAAACCTTCCTTGTAATTTTAAATAGTATTTAGCTCATCCAGAAAATAAGCAAAAATAACTGTTTCCTAAAATACTGCACATATTCCCTCAATTCCTTCTTATTGCTAATAATATTTATGAGACATCTGTGTTTGAGATGAAATGTTTATTTTATGCTTTAAAAATCAGAAAAGCATAATTTGTGTTATTTATGGTAACTTTTACAAGCTCCGAATTCTGTGTGCCAGCACAGAAGAATTACACTTGTGGGAAGGGAAAGCAAACTGGCTCTGGTAAATTAAATCCTGGGAGACTTCTGATTTGCTTTCCATTATGAATAGCTTTAAATAACTAAATTAAACAATTTTATCTGGTTTTCATCACAGGAGAGCAAGGCTTCATATAATGGTATGATATACAACAGATGCTAATCTACAACAAAAGACTAGCATTACATGCCTTAATGGAAGCTGAAAAGAAATACAGTTGAGCAAACACTAAGTGTTCAGGAAATTTATTGAAACAATAATTCAATAAATATGTTCTGAAAGATAACACAGAGTATTTTGTAATAATTAGATTTAATTTTTTTTGTAATAAAATTGTGTGAGGTTTTTTTAAGCCTTACCTTCTTTGGAGTCCCTAGGACTTGGCAAATTTTGAAGATTTCATCTACTTCACTTGTGCCTGGGAAAAGAGGTCTGAGTGTGTATACCTCAGCCATTATGCTGCCAACTGCCCATATATCAATAGGTGAGCTATAGACAGAAGATCTCAGCAAAACTTCAGGAGCACGGTACCTGTAGGGATGGAAGGAAATAATAAATAAGTCAAAATGGTCATAAGGAGGTTAATTAGTTAAGCTAATGTATTGAATTCTTGATATACTTACCACCTGGTAGAAACATAATCTGTGTAAGGTGGCTGAGATCTTAGTTCTCTAGCCAACCCAAAATCTGCAATTTTCACAAGTTCTGGTCCACTACAGAGAAGGTTTTCAGGCTTCATATCCCTATGAAAAAATCCTGTAGAAGACCAAACAGAAAAGAATTGCAAATTATCACAGAATCACTTCCTAAACAGCAATTTCTAATAGGAGTACTCTAATATTTACTTTGGGATGTTTTGGAGTAATATAGTGGTTTTCAGCCTTTTTCCTTTTATATTTTTAAAAATTCAACATAAAATAATTGGAACACTCCCCCAAGAAATGCACACATTTTCCCTCTAGTGATTATTACACCAAGTGTTCTCAAATTAACAAATACAAACTGTCATTAGCACACTAAGGAAAATGAATTGGCTGGCAGCAAAATCAAGTAAAAAAACACTTTCAGAATGAAATCTTTTGCAAAAATTACAACTGCTTTATCAGTCTTGGATAACTGAAAATTGAGCATCTGACACACTTACTTGATTCATAAAATTGCTTGAATGATTTTTAGCTAGTTATTTATCATTGTGACAACAATTTGGAGATACAGACATATAAAGGATATCCAAATGCTGCTCAGAAATGTTAATATTAGTAAAGCAGGCACATAAAGCTTCTTCATTGCTTGCTGTTGGCCTGAGGACCTCTATACTTGGGCAGTGGTTAAGTCACTAAGCAAATTAATTTTGTTGTTTAATTGGAACACACAATTTTTTTATGTTATCCAATAATTCAATTTAAATCCACTTGCTAGAATAAAGCACTGAATTTCTGCATGCATAAATTGAAAATGACTGTAAGAAATTGGCTAAAATTATTACAGTGAAATGTAAATGTTCAAATTTATCATACCTGGTATTCCCTTATACACTTATGGTCAAATCAAGATATTAATATTGTAACTTAAAGTTGGAAGTTTTTCTTAAAATCTAATTTTCTAATTTATTTCACAGAGAAATGAGGGAGGAAAGGAGGATGCTAACAATCAGAGAACAGTATATGATCCTGATCAGAAGGACAAGAAAATGTCAATTTCTGGGTATTTGATAATACCAAATAAAACTGATTATTCATTTAATTCACCAAGAGGCCTCTTCAGGGTACATTGAAAGCAAATCAAACCTCACTAGGAACACTGTTTCTTAATTTATTTTCAGCTAATGTTTTATTGTCTTTGGGAAGTTTTAAGGATAACAATGTGATGTGAAGAAGAACTACAAAATCAAAAAGCTGAGCATGACATAAATTACTACCTTTTTAAATGCAAAGGAATTTGATACCAGTATTTCAGAATACAGTTTGCAGACAGATATTAAACATGAGCTTTAGGAGTTTTGCAAACATTGTGAAACTTTTTATTGTTGTGAGCACACCTCACCTCTTTAGACTGTGCCTGTAATTCCTAGAAACATCCCACCTACTAAAATATTTGAATCCAGGTTGTATTTGATAAGGATATTCTTTGAATTTCTTAGTGAACAAGTTATTTTAGTATTTTTTATATATAGAATATCATCTTAATTATGGTATCTCAACAAGAGTACTGATGTATTAATGCTTCTCAATTAGATCTTTTTGAGGATGCAGAAGTGATTAGTACAGCACAGCATACAACATTTATTTAGTTGGTTTATTAATCTGCTAACTAAAGCAGAAAAACTACTGCAGTGTATTAACAACATCCAGTGCTTTCCAAGAGAAAGAGGAAAATCCAGTTATAGGAAAACAAAGAAAACTTCAGGCAAAGTTTAAAACTGCACCACACTAGAAACAGGTAACCATGATTTTATCAGAGATGATTAATAGCCCTTGCTAGGTTATTTTATTCATGTTATTTCTGTGTATCATCTTATTTTCTAAAAAAAGTGCTACACAGTTAAACTCTAGTAGGAAACCTACCGTGTTTGTGGATGAAAGCCAGCCCTTGCAATATCTGATACATCATGTTTCTGATGACTGACTCAGGGAAAAACTTGTTTCTGTGAAGAAATAGGGTAAAAATGTACATAATTCAGAAAAATAATGTATCTTCAGAACACATGTGTCTCTTTATTTTGCCTAACACATCATGAACACATGAAAACAGACCCATCAAGTCAAGAAAGAGAGATGCAACTCCCACGTCAAAATTCTATTGGGCCTTAATCTCAACCACTTTAAGTGCAGCAGCAGAACTTCTGTGCTGAGATATTCATGGTGCTATCTCTCTGTAGAAGCTGGCTGGCCAGCAGCGTGCTCGACCAGGTGAGTGTGCAATGCACAGTGATGCAGCAAGGCAGAGATGGCACAGTGCAGCACAGGTAGGTGCATTACCCAGTGGTGCCCTTAAGGAAGACCTGGTAGGAGCAATTCTGCTCAGCTGCAGAGTAACAATGTGCTCATGTCACCAGCAGCTACCTCGGGATGTCAACCCAAGGGCTTGGCACATTAGGAGATACATGTGCATGACAAAGTCTGAAGGAAACCCACACCAAAGGCAAAACAATTCATCAAAATAAGGTGTTATTGAAAAGGCAGGTCCTGCTCTGAAGACCACCTTGCAAGCCTTGCTATGTACTGTTTGTCCAAGATTGCAACAGCAGAGTTAGCCTATATTAGGCCATTCTTACAAAGATGCATCCATGTACCATCCCCACCTTAAGTAAAACCCATGAGCAAAAGTAGCACGAACCAGTGTTCACCTAATCCTTCATACATTAGAATGAAGGCTAATGAAGAAAAAAACCCAAAACACAACTGCTTGGAATTTCTCTCACAGCTCTACACAAAGGCATGGCAACTCTTCTGTTAAGAAGAGAACAAATTTATTCCAAAAGTTTTACAATATGCAGTGTTGTAACAGAGCAATGCAGAACTATACCCTCAAATAAGCTGGTGCAGCAACTCCCGTTCACATCAATGGGGCTTCAAGAGGAGCCAAAACCAGACATCTCAAACTGTTCTTCAAAGCAGTATGAGAATCATTAAATAAAGCATGATAGCACACTATTTTTCCATGAAAAAGACATACCTATCCTTCATTAGCTGATAGAGATTTTCCTTCATGTACTCAAATACAAAATAAAGGTGGTCATTTTCTCGTATGACTTCCTTCAATTTTATCACATTGGCATGGTTTAGCTTCTTCAGAGACTGCAACAGAGCAAAATGCAGCTTCAGATAATCCCACACTGACCTTGATTCCTTACCATAGCTAAATTTTTAACATGTAAATTTCTAGCACAGAATCCACACAACATATTCATATGATACCCCATTATTTATCTTGTAATCTGTTCTAAAGAACAACCCAGAAGTTTGAATGAATCTCAAATTAAAAGCAACAACTATATAAATAGAAGTTTAAATCTATTTCTAGGGATTACCTCAGGGCTGGAGTAAAGATTAGCACAAAAACCTAATTCCCTACAAGAAAAGACAAATCTGAAGCTGTAAGAGCTCTTGCTCACTGCACTGAATAAGAAAACTTGCATTTTTTTCCCCCTTCTTTTTGGCATGAAACTTTCATGAAGAAGCATTCTATTACAGATGCTCATTTTGGACCTACTGATTTGCATGAAGTCTCCAATAAGTTAAATCAAAAGCCCTTTAGTAGGGAGTTCTGTATATACAGAAAATCAGACGCCCAAAACATAGAATTATTTGGAATTTATGCCCAGGTTTTCAGGTGTTATTCTATCACTTGGCTAGCCAAAACTCCCAGTGCTTTCTACAGATGCCCCAAACACAAGATATATGGAATGGACACACAGCTAGAAATCTGGAAGTAAAATGAAAGAGGAGGATGGTAAACCACAGAAATACACACATGCAAAATTAATTTATTTTCCTTTCTCAAAGATAAGAGGCTTGGCTATGACATGGCCACAGCTTGAGAATAGCGGAATATTCCACAAATCAGCAGGCTCTCTAAGAGTGCCAGCACCCCACAGTTTTGTGCAATCTGTCAGCATTTAAGGAGTTCATAGAGTTTGGCCTCGCTTGGACACAGTAGCTGCCCTTTTCCTTCATGCAAGCCTAACCAGACACTTATTTTTAAATGTGGCATGTTCACCACTTTACCTTGACTTCTCTCAAATTCATACATTCATCCCATGAATAGAACTTCCTTTTCATTCTGAAATAAAGTCCAAGATAAAATATTTTCAGTGGACAGTACAGAATGCTTTTAGAATTAGAAAATATAAATTATATTTTCTAAGACTAGCATTATCTATATTTTGAACTCAATTTAAAACATTTTAGCATACCCATCAGCAAAATAATCAAAGTCAGCACTTAGAATTGCTAAAAATTTACAGTGATTAATCATCAAACACCAAAACTGAAATATCTTTAGAAGAGTACAGCCATAGACCACATTACTCTGAAGTAAAAGGGACATAAAATACCCCTTTGTATCATTTGAATTGTGCTTTTAATAATAAAGCAAGCAACAATGATAATGCACCTACAACATGGAAAAATCGCATCCTTATGCATAAGTTGCATATTCTAGGAACACAAGCAAAAAAAATTTGAAATCTGCAAAATATCTGGACTATTTTCTATTGTAATTAAGCATCTGACTTGATTGGTCATTTAAAAAAATCTGTTCCAAGATATTAATTTAAAAAAAAAAAAAAAGGTTTAATTTTTTTTCAAGCAACATCATAGCCTCTAAACTAATTGTTATACACAACAGTGTAACACATTTATTTGTAAGTAAGTCCTGCATAAATCCAAATGTGGACGTTTGGTGTTGCTCAGATCTTGGGATGAAGTTGTGAATGTCACTGCTGCATTTTGGTAAAGTTTTAGCAGCTAAAGTGAAAAGATTTAAACGCATAATTTTAATTTAAAATAAAAGTATCTTCAAGCAAAACTGTACCCTCTCAAGTTCCAAACTTAAAAATGATACAACAGATTTTCAAATCTTGAAATCACAAAATGAACCACTTCCCACAAAATGTTGCTCCTTTTGCTAAAAATAATTAAAATAATTATTGGAGATTCTTTCTTTAGCTTAGATTAATATCAACTTCAGTAACAGTACCACCAAGATACGGTGAAACATGAAACTCTGAGAAATTCTTAAATAAAAAGTCAGTCAATTACATTACAATTATCTTACTGAGCAAGTTACAATTTCTAGCATTTCAACTTATATCCTGCTTGCAATTCTCTAGGAATACAAGGGGAATTCCCCCACGCCTTGAGTAGAATTTTTCTCGTTTCGTAATCATCTTTTAAGGCAAGCATGACAATACTCTTGATTACACAGAACACAAGTTTATTAGAACCAGGAAGACAGCCTTTACTTACCTGACCAGATTGTTAGTGTTACTTATCGCTATAGCAACACCTGAAACTTAATGCAGTACTTACAAAGATTTGGGGTGCTGGGATGGAATTTCAAATCTACCTGTTAAGGTGGCTATTCCTGTAATTCATATAAATAAACTCCCTAATTAATACCATTCACTTTTGCTTCTCCTTTGGTGCTGGCCTAACAACATTTTTAGAAGGAAGCATGTTCAAACTGAACAAAAGCAGCATGCAATTTTACAAGCCAATGTAAACCAGCAAACTAAACCAATGTGTTTCTGTATTGATCAGTTACCAGAAATCTGACTCACAATCACCTTGTTAGACACCTTAATTAAAAAAAAATTTTTTTTGTTATGTTAATTTCCTTTTAAAAGGGGACTTTTTTCAATTCTACACAAATGGAAAACAAAAACAAAGCCAAAATTGAAAATCTAAGATTTTGCAAGCACCTTTATTGAATTGAGATGCTACATACCTTTTGATAGCCACAAGTTCTCCTGACTCATTGCTCTTCCCCATCAACACGCTGCCATAGGTGCCATCACCCAGTTGTTTCATAATTGTGTAACGATTCATTTTTTTTACAACTCAGACAGTCAAAAGCTCACGAAATGTTAAATATATTATGTTTTATTAAAGGGTTCTGTGCTCTTTGATTTTCTTAAGAGAAATCTTCTTCCAGACTGTTTTATGCTGGTGAATGTTTCTCATAACTAAGCAGGATATTCACTGTTCTCTTCCAACCTATAGCTGCTTTGAGATCCAGTTATGAAGAATGGGAGACAGAAGAACATGGTCATTGTCACACAGATCCCTAAAAAAAAAAAACAAAAAAAACAAAAAAAAAAAGTCTAGGTAGTCTTACAATATTTTAGGAAAGAGACACTCTACTTACTACTTGTATCAAACAATAACACCCTCCAGAACCATATGTGCTTTTTTAATGGTTGTAAATGCAATTAGCTCCTTTAAACTTCTCAAACCACAGAAGGTGCCTACTCTACAATTAGGCTTAGAGTAAGCAGAAACTGGAGAGTCAAGGTTACTGTCATAATTCCCTAGAACCAGTGAAGTGTTTTTAAAGCTGGTGTATTCTGATAGAAGCCCACACTCTGAATTTGTAGACAGTAGCAGCTTCCTGAACTATAACAAAGGCATGGTTGAATTTCTGGAAAACATAAGGACACAAATCTTGCACAGGGTGCCACAGCAAACTTAAGTTTTGAACACTGTGTTTTGGATTGGTAATGCTAGTAGGCTTTCTATGCTTAAAAGTTAGTGAGGAAGGGAGGTGGAGCAGCAAGATAAGCACTGCATTTTTCACCCATATATACTGATTTGTTATAAATTGACATCTTGCTCTGAAGTTCACATAATTCTTAGGCATGGTAATGTCTGAAGAGTTAAGTTTATTCTTCAAATTTTACAAGGTTGCAGAGAGAAGCATAGAGCTTACATGCACTGCTATGGAAGATTAAATCTGAACTGTCATTTGGAAAAGAATTCATACTGAACAATTTTGAATCACCATATTTGAATCCATGCAAATATTATTTGAATCTCAATCCAAGTTTGAATTTGAACCCCAGCTTCCATTACACACAATACTATCTGTCACCAATGCTCCAGATGAAAGCAGTTGTCTGATGTTAAACACACAAACTCATAAGAGTCACCCTTTTATTTATGCAGGACTAGGAAAAACTAACAACCTCTCATTGTACTATTTACTCACTGTAACCCAAATGCTAATACACAAACACTGAATATTAGCATACAAAAATAAAAACTCAAAACCAATATATATACAGAATAAAACTCAAATCAATGAGAACACACCACCAGTCCACCTTTATAGGAGATTGAGAACTTAGCATGCAACCCTCTAGTCCTTATCCTTATGCCAAAATTAGCTACAGTCTGGTCTGTTCAAATAGATTAAGAAACTATGATTCAGCTGATAACAAGACTCAGGCTTGAGATTTACAGGCCTGGCAAAATAGCAATAAAATTAGCCTCTCAAGGAGTGTGATATATACTGTCTCAAGCAAACTAACCTGCTGTGCAAAGGAAACAGCTGCCTGGAAAAGAGACCAATGTTTCTAAGTTGTTCTTAGTTGAAATGCTGCTTCCTCTAAGTCATAACACAATGTTACTCCCTGTAGCTTCTGTTAGCAGGAATGAATCTCACATCACCCATCAAGATGCTGCTGGCCTAGTGGATATCTCAATTTATCATCTTTGCACCAGGCAGCCTTCATTTTGTCAGGGAAAGTTACAAAGAAGTTTATTTTCCTACACCCATCTACACCTCCCCTCCCCTAAAGCTACAGCTATAGTGAAATAAGATTTCTGGTTAATAGGGTATTCTGAAACAGAGATAAAAATCAGATTTAACAAAAAGTAACACAGACATCTCAAATTATGACGAGATTTTAAATTGGACTTTCATATATTTAAGCAAATTATTTTTCTCAGAGTTCAGCTTTATATCTTATTCCCCAGAATGCCTGCATGCACTCTGGTCTTTAATACCATCAATAGTGCCTTTTTACACAAGGCTATTTGTTGACTCTGATACTAAGCAGATGATCAAATGTATTTTTTCCAAGTTAAGATACATTCTGCATACACATTTTTCAAGTTGTCAATGGTTAGCTCTATGTATATATTAAAAAAACAAACCAACGCAAAAACCTTGAGGGTATCCTTACACTCATTTTAACACACAGCATCACATCTAAAGAGTCAGCAATGATAAACTGCGTATGCATTTTGTGTATAGGTGTACACAGGTGTATTATGTGAAGTGAAATGTAACAGTTTTGTGTGCTTGTGTTTCTCTGTTTCAACAAATATCATTGTACATTTTTTAAGGTTGTATTTTTTTTTTTTGAGGGGATTCAGCAATATCTGCTACAGATGGCCCTAGCTTGAACTCCTAGAGTTACATTAAAAAGTTGGAGAATTTGCATGCATTTCATGCTCAAATTTTTGCTCTCTAACAAAGTGTACCAAAAACAACATGAGAAAAACTTGTATTTGCAATAAACAGAAAAAGATCTAGAGACAACCTCAAGTTTTGACCTTTAAATCCTCTCATTTTGGTGCCTAAATCCTATCAGATTTCCAAGTAATTTTCACTGGAGTATATATTAATCACATGCTTTAACAATTATCCAATTCTAATATTTTGGCATGTGCAATCAAAACAACCTCATATAAATTGTTCCTTACCTCCAGAAATTCCATGTAATACAACACAACACATACCCAATTATTCATTTTGTCTGTTCTGTAATGTATTTTATTGCCTTACTCCTCTTCTGCTGTATACTTTAATTTTTAGGGTACAAAAACACCTGATCAAGTAAAGTACAGAAAAGTCAGTGCATTCCTTCAATGATCAAGTGGAAGTGTCAAATCCATTCCATGGTAATGCATGAAACAAGGTGTGAAAACCACATACCCTGATAAAAGTGTCTGTGTACCATCACACCTACCTCACACTGACGTACTGGAATTACAGAGCATGATGATTAGAACATAAATGCTCCAGAGAGTCACATTTCACTACAACAGACTTCTACAGACTTTGTAATTTTCACCACTCATACCCAGCTAAGATATGCAATTTTTTCCTCAGTGGTCAATCTGCATTTTCTTTTCCAAATCTGCAGTTCAGTTTTGTATTTTGTACCAATCTGAGGAAAAGCAAGGGCCCAATCTAGTTTTTCTGATTAAAACATGCCTTTGGAGTGTCCTTTTCCATACTAATGCTTATATGATATTATTTCAGTGATGCAAAGCTCTAAAATGTAAAATTTTCTTAACAAGTACCAAACAGACAAGAGAAATCCTAGTCTAAACAACAGCTTGTTGCTACTCTTAATGACATACTGCACATAATCTCTTTACAGAGGATTAAGGAAAGATTAAAGCCAGGGACAAATAGAGGACAAAATAAAACAGCTTGACAGAATCTTTAATTTGTGTAAATTTAGCAAACCTGAACAAGTACTAGCGAATTGACACAAATCATCATTTTACTGTATTACTGACATCTTAAGCACTAGCAGCAATTTTATACTGCTGCTAGTATAAAATGATTTAGATGTCTGAATTACATTTCAAAATGTAATAAATAGCAACAAATCACCTACATTTCTTATATACAAGTACTAGGCTTTATCAAGAGTTCTACATTTGCATCCTAAACAAACTACTCTCAAATAATTAGAAACTAGGACATATGACCCAATAAGACCTCCCACCCAGAAAAGCAAAACACCCACAACCAAATTTTACCAACCTGTTTACAGTAACTGATGAAATCACCAAACTGTTTGCGTGGCACAGTACTGTTCACAATGATCAGAACTGGCAGTATTGCACAGCACTGAATGTATGCTGATACTGATTTTAAAAGTAAAAAACCAAAACAAACTAAAAACCAAATCCAACCACAAAACAAACAAATCTTGCTACAAGAACCTTCTTGGTAGTGAATGTATATTACTAAAGCTGCCAGTAATCTGGTCCCATGACAGCTGGATCCAGTTCTTGAGATTAACCTCAAATCCATTACTCTAATCAATTACCAGCAGTTATTTAAAAACACGACACTCAGCTGCAAGAAAGAAGTCAGTAACATTGACAATAAATACTGGTGTTTTGAAACAGACTGCCTTAATTTTTTTTTTAAGTCCCTTACAAATCTAACATATTATTCCACTTGTGTGTATCAGGCATTCAGGATGGGGTATATCAAATTAAGAACTCCAGCTTGCTCTAAGTATTTTCCCCTGTTTTGTTCCAAACTAGCTTTGGTTTCAAACCAAAATTATTCACACCAACTCTTTCAGCAGATTACCACCATGCCAGCAAGCCTACCAGTTCCTACCCGCATGAAACCCCTTCCCACAACACAGTACAGCAAGTTTCAGGATAACAGTGGTTTCAGTGCTGCTGGAACTTCAAGTCTCCAGTCTTAGGCAGCATTCGGAAGGAATATGAACCACTCATCTTTCAGCACCTGCACCACTCTGAGTTTCAATAAAACACGTTATGGTTGAAGGGACCATAGGGTCGAAGAATCATTATGGTCGGAGGGGACCTCTGGAGATCACTAATCCAAACTCCCTGCCAAGGCAGGGTGACCTAGAGCAGGTGACACAGGAACACATCCAGGGGGTTTTGAATGTCTCCAAAGAGGGAGACCCCACAACATCGCTGGGCAGCCTGTTCCAGTGCTCTGCCACCCTCTTTGTAAAGAAGTTCTTCCTCATGTTGAGGTAGAACTTCCTGTGTTTCAGTTTATGGCCATTGCTCCTCATCCTGTAACTAAGCACCACTGAAAAGACTCTGGCACCATCCTCTCGGCACCTGCCTTTGAGATAATTATACGCACTAATGAGATCCCCTCTCCGTCTTGAGGATGGAAACAAATGCTCGTTTCCACTTCGGTTCCACCTGGTGACATTCAGGTGCTCCCGAGCGCGCCAAGTACCTTCCTTGGCACTCACAGCGCCGAGGGGAGCACGGCGCTCCTGCCGCTCACTCCGGCTGTGAAACCCGGCACCGCCCGGCCTGCCAGTTTCACCCCGCTTCTCCTACATAAAGCTTCATCTCCTCTCGTTAACCGCGGACCTCTCAGACCGCCAAGGGCCGGGTCTACCCTACCCAAGCCAAAGCGGGCAGGGTCCCTGTCCCCGCTGCCGCTCCCACAGCCCAGCACTGCAGCGGGGCAGCTCCCCCACACGCGAGTTCACCGCGCCACCGACCCAAGCCCCCCGAACAGGAGCGGAGCTCCGAGCGCTCCCGCTCAGCCCAAACCCGCACCTCCTCCGTGCTGGGAGGACCCCAGAGAGGCCCAGCCCCCGGGACACGGGAGCTCACCAGCCCGGCCCCAGGGGGACTCGCCGCCATCCCCGCCGTCCCTCACTCACCGCGGCGCTGCGGGCGGAGCCAGCTCGATGCCGCCGAGTCCCCGGCCCGCCCGCCGCCTCCCTCGGCCGGGCCGCTCTGCCCCGTCACCGGGGCGACGGGCGCGGGGCCGGGCCCCGGGCTGGGGCGGGCCCCGCCGCCGGCACCGCCTTCTCGGCCGTGGGCACGGCTGCCCGGGAGTCCCCGGTGGAGCCGAGGGGTTGGGAGACGGTGGATAAACAGCTGTGCGGGGAGCGGGGAGAGCACCCCTTTGGAAAGGGAGCTGAGCCTGATGGCGAGAGCCGCGTCACAGGCTCCCTGAAGATGGCCCCGTGATAGGCGAGATCGTCTTTAGACAGTCCTTATTGTAATTACTGCTAACAGTAATTATATATTGAATATATATTTGGTGCTCTGGTGAGACCCCACCTGCAGTGCTGCATCCAGCTCTGGGGTCCCCAGCACAGGAAGGACACGGAGCTGCTGGAGCGAGTCCAGAGCTGGATGCTCTGCGATGCTCAGAGGGCTGGAGCACCTCTCCTGTGAACCCAGGCTGAGAGAGTTGGAGCTGTTCAGCCTGGAGAAGGCTCCAGGCTGACCTTAAAGCAGCGTTCCACTACCTAAAGGGAGCTTTCAGGAGAGATGGATAGAGTCTGTTTACAAGAGCATGGACAAAGGGAAATGGCTTCAAATGGAAAGATATTAGATATTAGGGTAAAAAAAAATCTTTTCTGTGATGCTGGTGAGGCACTGGACAGGTTGCCCAGGGAAGCTGTGGATGCCCCATCCCTGGAGGTGTTCAAAGCCAGGTTGAATGGGACTCTGAGCATCCTGGTCTGGTGGAAGGTGTCCCTGGCCATGGCAAGGGAGTTGGAACTAGACGATCTTCAAGGTCCCCTTCCAATCCAAACCATTCTATGATCTTATGAAATAAAGCTGCCAGCTAAGCCACAGTGTACTTAGGATTTGTACAGAAATTCCCACCTGTATTATTCACAGCTGTAGTGAAACCTGAGGGATTTTTCCCTCTTAGTATTTAAAAAAATTATTTATTGTAAGCAATTTATTAAAATGTAAGTTGCTAATACTAATGCAGGGGAGAAACTTTGAGTGCTCTATGCATTGTAAAATATATGTATTTCTATTACAAAAATAATAATGAACTTTCTCCTTGGTCCTTTGTAATCTTATGTTTCTCCTTGGAGAAACATAAGATTACAGAAAGCACAGTTAATAAAAATGGCATACTTAGTGTCTGAGCCAGAGGTGCTTTGGGCAGCAAAGTCTCATTTTAAGCTTCTATTCTCAACATTAGCTTGAGCTACCTATAGTTTAATGTTTTTGAGAGTGATGGGCAAGAAAAGGAGATAATTTCAACACAATAACTACTAGAAGCACCATGGAGGGAAAGGCAGAAAATAGTTTTAGAAATTCAGATTCCTATCAGCTTCGCCACGCTGGCAGCTCAGGTTTGCTGAGCAAAAATGGGAAGCTGTCTTCATTTTACCTTTTTTTTTTTTTTCTCTCCCCTCCCTGTTTCTCATTAATTGGTGTGGTAACTTTGTGATGGTTTAAGAACTGTTGACAGATTAATTGATTCTACCTCAAGTCAACTGGGTGGAACGTGAGGCTATGGGAATCGGTTTTCCGGAATTCAAAGGATTTGACCACTTGCACATAGCTTGCTGAAATGAAAGTGCTAGAAAACAACATTATATTTTCTGAAACAAAATATGCCTGTTTCCTTTACTGAAATAAAACATCAGAGGTGACTGCCAGGTGACTGCCAGGTAAAATAAAGTTCAAAGGTGAGACTTGGACATAAGAAGGCAGAAAGTACTGTAACCCACACAGCAGAATTCAGGCAAAGATTCAGCAGAAGCTGACTGTACATAGCAAAGGATTTAACCATGCATTAACCTCTAAGAATATGTTTGATCACTACTACATGGACACATGCCTACCTTAAATATGTCAAAACAGCTCTCCACTGTCAGTGGAAATGATGCAGCACTTACCCTGTGATGTCCCCTCTCTGCCCTTGTGTACTTTCCTCTCTCGACAGTTTAGCCATGCCTCTGACTGTCCTTTCCCAGTGATGGGCTCCATCCTCTTCCTCTGGTGCTGCCACTCAGTTTCATAACATCATAGAATGGTTTGGGCTGGCTGGAATGAACTTTAAAACTCATCTAGTTCCAACCTCCCTGCCATGGTTAGGGATACCTTCCACTAGACCAGAAGTCTCAGACCCTGATCCAAACCTGGCCTTGAGCACTTCCAGGGCATCCATAACTTTTCTAGGCTACCTGTTCCAGTGCCTCACACAGTAAAGAATTTCTGCCTCATATCTAATCTAAACCCACCCTGTCCCACTGTACAGCCATTCCCCCTTGTCCTATCCCTACATGCCCATGTAAAAAGTCCTTCTCCACCCCTCTTGCAGGCCCCCTTTAGGTACTGGAAGGATGCTTCAAGGTCAGCCAGGAACCCCTTTTTCTCCAGGCTGAACCACCCCAGCTCTCTCAGCCTGTGCTGAGGGGTGCTCCAGCCCTCTGAGCATTTTTGTGACTTCCTTTGAACTTGCTACAACAGTTCCTTGACCTTCTTATGTTGGGAGACCCTGTCCCACTGTACAGCCATTCCCCCTTGTCCTATCCCTACATGCCCATGTAAAAAGTCCTTCTCCACCCCTCTTGCAGGCCCCCTTTAGGTACTGGAAGGATGCTACAAGGTCAGCCAGGAACCCTTTTTTCTCCAGGCTGAACCACCCCAGCTCTCTCAGCCTGTGCTGAGGGGTGCTCCAGCCCTCTGAGCATTTTTGTGACCTCCTTTGGACTTGCTACAACAGTTCCTTGACCTTCTTATGTTGGGAGGACCAGAGCTGGATGCAGCACTACAGGTGGGTTGTCATCAGAGCAGGGCAGAGAGGCAAAACCACATCTCCCAGCCTGCTGGCCACGCTGCTTTAGGTGTAGCCCAGGATATATTTGTGTTTCTGGGCTGCAGGCACACACTGCTGGGTCATGCTGAGCAACCAACACCCCCAAGTCCTTCTCCTCAGGGCTGCTCTCAATCCATTTTCCCTCAAGCTGTATTTGTCCTTGGGGTTGCCCCAGCCCACATGCAAGACCTTGCAGTTGACCTTGTTGAACTCCATGAGGTTTGCACATTCCTATCTCTCCAGCCTGTCCAGGTCCCCCTGGATGCCATCCCTTCCCTCCAGTGTGCTGACTGCACCACACAGCTCGGTGTCACCAGCAAACTTGCTGAGAGTACATTCAATCCCACTGTCCATGTTGCTGAACAAGATGAAAATGCTCTCAGTTGCCTGTGGGACACTTCCAGTCTAATTACAGTCACTTATAAGAGATCTGGCATAAGAAAGGGGAGTTGATGTTTAAATAATTTCTGTATTAGTTTTGCACAAGAGAAATGTTTAAGTCTAAATTCTGTTACCAGGATCTCCTGTCTGTCAGTTGTTGGTGCTTTTTGTGATGGTCTCCAACATTTCACACACGTGAAGACAGACAGGCTGTAGACAGGACTTGCCAGTGTTTGAGCCAGGCTGCAACATGCTGTGAAGTTGCAGTACAAGCACTGCAAGCCAGTCACTTAACACTTCATTTTGTCATAAAGACAGGAGAGAGATGCTGTCCTGTGCTTTTGCTATGAACCAGGAAGCTGAAGTAAAGGCAACAGGTTAGAACAAAGAGATCCAGGATGTTTGTGAGCCCTGCTAAAGGACCTCTGAGAACATCCTTATGCACCTGCTTCCCTGCTTATTTTACAAAACAACACATGCAGACCCACTGAGTAATTTTCTGTTGAAAGGACCTCTTTTGGTTGTGGTCCTTGAAGGTGTTGATGCTATGCTCAAGTGCCAGCCAGAATACCTAAAACTGCCTTCTCCCAAACACCGCCACAAGTACCAGCATGCATGTTGAAGCTTATAGGGATTGTGTAAACTTCATTTTTCTGTTTGTTTGAATAAGGTTGAACCAAACTAGCAATGTTTCCCTGTGATATGTACTTGCACCTGTGTCATCCCACTGATCTTCATGTCTCATGTGGACTTTTGCAAATCTGGAGAGGTACTGTGCTGAAATGCACTCTATTTTGCACAATCCCAGGTGTAGCACCACATAAACACTATCTGGTTCGCCTTCCCTTTGTTCATGAGTGACAGCCAGGCACTTAACTTTAGGCAGCTAGAACACTAAAGGCAGTAATCCAGGCATGGATAACCACTGTACCCCACTCTTGGTATTTCTCAGGCAGAGGGATTTTAACAGGCCTGGATTAACTTTTCACTCTGTGTATTGGGAGGAACCAACACTAAATTCCTCAATTCTCCACTTTTTGTCTGCATATGACTTCTACTGATAAGGGTGGGAATGACATGAATTTTCCTAAATGCATCGCTAGAGCTGCATTGTGCATTCTGCTAAATGATGTCTCTTAGGAAACATGCTCTACTTTGGTGAAAGCTCTCTCAGTTGTATTAGACAGCTTTCCCCCAGAAAGACACCAAGAAAAACTCCAATAATCCGGAAGAAATCTCAGAAAATCCCCAGGAAGGAAAAAGTCTCAAATCGCATTCAACTCTGTTACACTGCTGGTTTCCACTCATGGAACTCAGGGAAAAGCTTGTCTCTGCCTTTAAGGTGATAGTTTGTATCCCCAAATAAAGAGACCAACTACTTCAGGCTCAATAACCCCAAAACAGCCAAGTTCCTGCATGCCCTGTTTGCAGCATTTAGCACATTTGGAAAACCCAGAGATAACCTGGTTCCAGAAGAGGAGCAATGGCTAAGCAGATTGCTCAGACTCTCACAGGAGTTCTTTAGCAGGGCTGGGTGGATACAGGTGGTCATGGAGCAGGATAGTATGCCAGGCTCTGTCTGCCCTCCATGAGGTGTGACCATGAACTGATGCTCACAGGTATTTGCATCTGTCAGGTGTGTGACACCACGC